CCATGGTCGTTAAGACCTTGTAATACTTATATTTCTTATATTTCAAGACTTTCCATCAGAAAGGCTGCAAACATCATATTTTAAGGAATATTTTTCTTCTTTAAAGATTGTACGTCCTTTTACATAAAATAAGATTTTTTCTGATGTAAAAGTATGGATGTCAATTTGCAGACTCAATAAGAATATTTTAGGTTTTTAAACGATCTTTTTACTTTCAGTTACATAATTGTACGTAAACGAACGAATATAACCAAATACTTTTATAAAGTTCTTTATGTCACACTGATATTTGCAGTCTTGGTCTATATATATATATATAGAGCATAACTTCTCTCCTCTTCATGAAAACTGTGTGTCTGATCTATGAAGATCTGCTCATCATTTATAAACTTTCTCACTTGTCATTCTGTTCTCTTCGCAATTTTTTTTTTAACTCTTTGATCGGTGACTTTAATGCCACGCGAAATAAGAATTCTTTCTTCTTAATTCTCCACTACTCATTTAGCTTGGACTTCTGATCTTTATTGAAGTTTCTATACTACGGAGCTTTTTTTACGATTATTGCATTTGCTTAGAAATTATATTAGCATAAACATGTTTTTTTTTGTAAGATAATTTTTTAAATTAAATTGATGAATAGAGTTCATCATAAATGGTTTTGACAATTGAAATCGTTACCAAAAATATGATTCAGCCTGATATTCTTGATTAAATATTTGATCTTAATTGCCAAGCATTCTCTCGTAACACGGAATGCAATCGATGTGACAAGTTGCATAGTACTGTGCAATAAAGAGTGACATGATGCTACTTGCATCAACTTGCGTGAGTAACAGCGATAGTGTGTCGATCAGTACTCGGGCCAGAAGTTAATGGATACGTAGGCCGCCTACTCGGGTATCACCAGTCCAGATAATTATGCGAATCGTTTCAATCGTTTCGAAACGCGTTGTCTCGTAATTTTGAAGCTTGATGGATTGTAATCTTCTGGATCACGAAACGCACGTCAGCTAAAGCGCATATGTAATAAGAGAACGAATTCCGTTCGGAAGTAATAATAATTCTAATATATAGAAATCGGAACATAAAAGATTAAAGGAAAAATTTGCACAATTTCACATATAATTAATTCTAATTTCCAACTTTGTATATACCTGCAACACACAAGTTACAAATTATAACTTGTAATAAATGTATAAAGTATTTATATCGATCCAGCAAACACTAACTATATAATAATAACAGCTGTTGATTATAATTTTCCACTCATATAATTATATGTATAATATATTACGTGTAATATAATTGTTGAAGTTATATTACAGTTTTATTGTTGAGTGGGAAATTATAATTAACAGTTATGTTATTAAATGATCTTATTAAAGTAAAAATTGAGAAATGTTCAACACAAATGAATGAAGAAGGCCATATTTGAGTCAATATGAGTCTTGATGCTTAATCATATTTTTCTGCGAATTTTTACAATTTTCAATTCAAGCACGATCTTATAGAACGAAACTGGAGTATGTGTTATGTTATTGTTAATAGTGTTTGCTAGGGATTTTAATATTTATTGAAGAAAGATGATACGCATCAAATAAAATAATAAAGAGAGATCTCGATGTGTGCGTGATTATATTGGCCTATTTAAAATAGTTGCGGTCCACTTAGTGTTGCAAATACTTTGAAGCATTCTTTGGTCAATCAATAAAAATTCTTCTGATTGGTCAATCGAATGCTTTGATGCATAAGCATTTATTTTTACGTTAAATGGACTGGCATTCAATATTGCATATTATAGTAAAATTGTACGTGCTTGTTGCATTTTTCGTAGCTGGTACAAGTGAAAGATGCGTATCTTTTCATGTTGAGAGAAGCGAAGGCTATTAATTTTAATATATATAAATAAAACGTATATTTTGAGTCGCGATAATGCAAGCGGCTCGATTTGAAATTACAGTAAGACTTGTTCCGATAATTGACGCGCTGCAAGGATCCGGATCAAAGCGTTGTTCCTCGACTAAGAAGGCAAGCTCGGTTTCAACGTCCGGGTGTAATTTACTGCCGATTCACTGCCACGCACTTACTTCCTGGCACGACCTTCGATCGTTCCCATAATCGGCTGAATCAAAGCCAACAGGTCTCTTTTCCTTTCTTTTTTTTTCTTTCTTTACGCCAAATGAATTTATGTTCGTACCTTGTTAATTGTCCCCCTTATGGAAAAGCATCACATGCATTTTATCGAAATATTGACAAAAATATGGTAACATCGTTAACATTATTACAACATATTTGTTGCTAACTGCGTGTCTAATGCGACGGTGCAATCGCATATATCGTAAGATTGCATTTTAAATTAATTGTGATAATATTACTCATTACTTATCATTCCTTAATACATTTGACGTTTTCTTTTATTATATTGAAAATGGAGGACTATGAATTCTTTCTTCTTTTTTATTAATTAAATCCTTTTCCACATATCTTTCTGAACAACAAATTCAAAAGGAAAAAATTAATAATTTGTATAATTAGAATATAATTATATTTGTATGTAGTCTTCCATTCGCAACGTAAATTGAAATCTGTAAAATAATATATCCGAAAAATACTGCAAAACCGATTCGCTTGATGCAAAATATATTCCAAATTTCCAAAAGTCCCTTCTTTGATGATTGCGTGACTGAGATCGCGTGTAATAAGATACGTTCAAAATTTTCGGCTTCTTTGTGTTTTAATTGTTAATTTCCAGATATTGATCCCGGATTGAAACCGTCGATTTTCTTTGCGTTAAATTGTGGATAAAATAACGATTTCACACGGATCTTGTGGGCAGTGGACCAGTCAGCAGAATGGACGACAAAAACGACGGTGACGAGCGAAATCTCGAACCTCGATCAGCAGAAAACTGCCCGATAATGCCCGCGGGCTTGCGATCGATCGACACGGGCCCCGACCGCGCGATATTCGGGCGACCCACCTATTTCTTCTTTATGAAAGTGCTCCACTTCTCTTTTTCTCCCTGGCACGGGCCCCGACGACGTTAGACGATATGTCGCAATAATGCGATCCCGGTCTGTCGCGACACATTTGGCAAAGGCATGTAAATCGGAATGGCTTGAAAGTTTCACGACAATGACGAACGATGTGTATTCATGATTTTCATATTTTCGACACTATCTCTTCTGCGTGGGAAGATATCAAATATTCCGGAACAATTGATCATAATTATAATGAAGGAATTATTATTCCTTTGTAGAAACTTTCAAGCCATTCCGATATACGTGTCTTTGCCAAATGTGTCGTGAGATCGAGATTATTACAACACATTGTAGAAAGAAAGGCGCGCTATAATATAAACATAATATAAAAATAAATATAATATATTATATAATATAATATATGTACATAAATCTATTGTATTTTTATTAAATAAAATTATAAGTATTATAATTTTGTAAGTATTCATTTACTTATAAAAATTAGAATACTTCTAATTTTATTATTTTCTTATTATTTTTTCTAAAATTACAAATGTGTGAATACACAGAGTTAAAAAATATTAATATCAAGTTTAACAGAAACAATAAAATTTTTAATCTCACAGTTAACAAATTTTGTAATTTGTCATATATTTAAATAATGCAAGTGGAGAACGTTCAAGAGTCGCAGACTATAATTTGAAGAATAAATTTAAGAACCATGGGAACGTAATATTTTTTAAAATATCCCTAATATCTCTATTGTATCTGCTGTTATTTTAAGAACCGTTAAAATCACATTCTTATTCATAAGAATAATAATGTTAAAATTGTCATATTGACATGACGATCAACTTGATGCGCGCGCGATCAAACACATCTATACATTAACTCTTATCCCGATGGCTTTGAATTTTTAAAGTTTATTTTTTGCCGAGCCTAATGACGCAAACTTCTCTCATATCATATTGGAAATCTGTATTATAATTTAAATTTTCTAATCCATTCTCGACTGATGTCTTTCGAGAAATCGGCGTCTCGTTCAAGGACGTGTACGAAAAGCGTAGTTTGGCAGGGTCAGTAATGTATAGAACACGCATATTGCACAATAACACGCTGCAAAATTACGCCGAAAGATGAAAAAGAAACGAATTGATTTGCAATATCCTCCAAGAAATAAACGCAAAGTGATTGGTATAAATAAACGCGTATTGTGACTTGCGTTTTTTTTTATTTTTCGAAGTATTTGTTTTATAAATAGAATAAACTCGTTAACGCGGCAAAAAAAAGTAGCAATATTTTTTATTTTTTTATTTTGCTGCCAAAGAGCAACTTATTGCAGTTAATAAATGCAATAATAGTATAAAAAATTCTGTAATGAAGAATTTAGTATCGAGATGAAAAAAATTAAAATTATTTTTGTAATTTTTATTCCATCTCAAATTAAAAAATTGTTTATTGTTATTATAATTACTCATTTGATACGTAAATTTTATATTGTAAAAGTGAGATAAATTCGGCCCAAAATCGGGATATAATATTTTAAAAACGTCTTAAAGACATCTTATGTCCTGATTTTAGACAAACGTTTGAATATCTAGATTTTTTTTTAATTTGGACCAAAATTATCTCGTCTCTTTCGAAAATTATCCCATTTTACAGTATAAAATTGACGAAACTTTACACAATTCAATTAATAAGATATGCCTAAAAAATGTCATTCTCTTTGTCTGATTCACATGGTGCATGGTCACGAAATGAGAAAAACCGGTATTGTCATAATTCGATTATACCAAAGTCACTTGGGCACTACTTCCGTCTTCGCCTAAAAAAAATTGCTGAGATAGATCCTTTCAAGTGTCCGCGAACTATCAGGAGCGAGGGTGCGCGATTGCAAGTGCCGGCCAAGTTCAAGTGCGGTCGGCAGCCAACGCCGACGAACTTTCAAAGTCCGACACTAGGATCGACGGTGGGGATTCATACAGTGGTGGACCAGAGACCCACCGGGTATATAAAGCGGTCGCGATCAACACCGAACATCATCAGTCTTGCTTTGGTCGATCCAAACCAACCAAATCCACTCAAGAATGGCATTCAAGGTGGGTAGAGGATCGCAAATGCTGAGGATTCCCAAATCCGTTAGACTGTGTTTAAAATCTTTATTATTTATTAAACTTTCCTGTACACTCGAAGTGCTCTCGAAACGAAGATTTACTTTTCTTCAAAGAATTTGTTTTCGTATAATAGTAAAATTCGCGAGTGACTAAAAGGATCAATAAAAAAGGAATTGCTTCTCGTGCAAATTCCAAGTGCACATCGAATTGTAAAATCAAGATCAATTTGGTATCGTCAAGTTCTCTCGTAAAACAGACAGAACAGGGGTTTTACCAATATTCTTTTGCAGTTCGTCGTATTTGCTGCCTTTGTGGCCGTCGCCAACGCCGGTGTTCTTGCGCCCGCCGCCCCCTTGGCTTATGCCGCGGGACCCGCAATCGTCGCCGCCGCTCCCGTTGCCAAGGCAGTGGTGGCTAAGGCTATCGACGCCGACTTCGACCCGCATCCGCAATACAGCTACGCCTATGACGTGCACGACAGCCTGACCGGAGATGCCAAGAGCCAACACGAGACCCGTGACGGCGATCTCGTCCAGGGTAGCTACTCCCTCTTGGAAGCCGATGGCACCAGGCGCACTGTTGACTACACCGCTGACTCGGTCAACGGATTCAACGCCGTAGTCCGCAAGGAACCCGCCGCCGTTGCCGTCAAGGCCGTCGCCCCAGTTGCCGCCCCCATCGCACATGTCGCGCACGCCGCACCCCTCGCCTACGCTGCCCCAGTCGCCAAGTTCGCCGCTCCCATCGCCAAGCTGGCCACGCCGGTAGCTGCCGCTCCCCTCACCTATACCGCCCCCGTAGCTAAAATCGCTGCCCCTGCCGTAGCCCACTTCGCGCACGCTGCACCCCTTGCGTACGCCGCGCACGCCTCCCCCCTTGCGTACGCCGCACACGCCTCCCCCCTTGCATATACCGCACACGCCTCCCCCCTTGCATATACCGCACACGCCTCTCCTCTTGCGTATGCCGCGCACGCCTCTCCTCTTGCGTATGCCGCGCACGCCGCCCCTCTAGCAGCTCCTCTTGCTAAATTTGCTGCTTCACCTGCCATCTCCTATGCCGCTCCGGCTGCATCTGCCATCTCTTATGCCGCCCCAGCTGCCTACATCCACTAATTCGTGTTGACCACGCCAATCTACATTGTCGACTCAGGCCGAACTTATTTATTTTTATATCATGTACATGTTCTTTTTATGTGACTGATTAAAGAAATTACATACGTATTTTTGAGACTATTTGCTTTCGAAACCTCGTTAACCATTTCTCGCCGTCATCATGTAATATGTTAATATACATGTACATATGTACTAAAATTAAACGTACAGTACGTTGGCTACTTATATTTAAAAGAATTACTTGTAATAGTACATATGCCTAATGACGAGTATATGTATTGTATTCCATATTGTATGTGCAATACAAAAATTATTTACAGATAATTAAAATATAATCAGACAGAATTAAAGTCTTCTATTTTCAATATGATCAAAGGAAATGTCAAATATGATAAGGAACATTGATTGCAACGAATATTATAATCAATTTAAAATAAAATAAAAAGATAAAGAAAAATGAAATACACAAAATCAAAATAGGTAGACAGGAATATTACATTTGCGGTATTAATGATCAATGAAATAATAAATTTCATGCAATTTCTCAATCAATTACTGAACGTAAAGATAAAATAGAAATATCTAAATAATTTGTTATAATTTTAATTAAAAGTAGAAATGTATAAATAATTTGTGAAATAATTGATGGAAAGTAATCAGAAAGATTATTTTGATTTGTTATATTGATTAATTTTATTGCATTCACAAAATAATCGCCCAAGTATTATGCCTCTTATAAATATGATACCGAAGGACCACACATTTATTCCAATATATTATAATTTACATTTAAATATAAATATATTTTCATTCTTTGTTTATGAAACATTTAAAGTTTTTGCAGGATAGTAAAAATATTATTATAAAGAAAAAATATTTTAGAAAAATACCTAAAATTCACGTTTAATTACTTACGAGTACATGATACTTCACAAATTGAAGTATTAAAGAATTTTAACAAAATTTTTGTCCTTCTTTCGAAGCATAACCACTATTTTCTGTTTATCAAAGATCAGATGACATCGTATTCAATCAAAAAGTCCACGTATCAATATTTATTTAAGCGCTCTTACTGTTCTGAAATTTCTGAGAAAAGAATGGCGAAATGATTAAAGCAGTCAAAAATCTAGATATCGAGCGGTTACCACATATGATGTGCTAATCGTGTGCGTCATATGCGACATTCTAGTTCGCGATTGCAATTCGTATTGTTCTGTGTCGTCATGCTAATATAAATTCACGACATGGTGTCGAAATTGCTCGCTGCTGTCGTTTGTGCCGAATCTATTTCGCATCGTTTTTCGAGCACCGACACTCTCGCGATTCAAGATTACCGAGAGCTATCCCTGTGAAGTGTTTATGATGTGCGATATTAAACACAAATGCGGATTGTAGAACGTGAACAAGTTTTAGTTCTTCAAAAAACAGAAATAACACTTTACAGCTATTTTGTCATCTGCCTCATCTTATTACTCGTTCTAATTTCCCATTATATAACTCGTGACTTAAGCTTATAATATATAATTATATCTACAAAATTATGCCTTATAAATTATCATTCATATTTTTGTGAAACAAGAACTTTTATGAAATCTAGAATGTGATATTTGAAGTATCGAATAATGTAAATCATCGTAAGGGTTAAAAATAGCAGTCTCACAATGATAATCAAAATAAAGAGAAATGAATTTTAACATTTTGTCGGTACTTTAAATAATCTGTTTCTAGATTCAATTTCACTTCTGTGACGGGCTCGCCCCGAAACAAGCAGCATTCAATTTCTCGGTCCTTGAACGGGCCCTTGATGCATGGGGTAAACCTTCGCGCGTAATACCGTGGCGATCGGCATCACGTTATTTCTGTGCGTTCGCCCAGAATTGACCCACTTTCTCCGCTTTTCGCTCGTCCTTTCTCGAGCACCTCCCCGAGACGCGCGGCCGCGCAAGGATCGCGGCGGAGCCTCCACTTTTGTTCGCCGGTCTCGATCGGCCGATTGCAAAAGTGCCGTTGCATCGGCTAAGAACCGCGGGCATGACAATGGAAAGACACCAATTTTGCGAATGCAATGTTCCGCCGATCGGCGATGACTCGCGCCGCGCGCGGCATGGTGCACGTTAATTCGACTCATTCAGATAATTGAACCATTGAACGTTCTGCCGAATAATTCTATCACATTATATTCGCCTAATTACATCGCAATGTATCCGATTTGATTTGGGATTCCGATTTACATAATTTGAAGTGCAATTTCATCCAACCAAACCTAATCGCTAAAAATTATTATATAATATTCTCTCATCAAGATCAGTTAATTTCGACTTTTATACTTCATACTACTAGTGACAAATTAACACATTTAGAACGGGGATTTATTTTTTAAATCCTACAGAGGGAACTTCTTTGAATAAAATTTTGTTATAATTCATTATTTTCATTGTATATCTTGCCTTAAAATATGACACTTTTCAGCATCACTATGGCGGCTTTCCCGTCTTTTAAAGATTTATTTAAAATAAAATCCATTAAAGATACACTTGAGGCTTCAAGTCCCGGAGATCACGGCCGGTTCAGTATTCATAGGCCGGTATTTATAGTAGATTTAATTTTAAGGCTTAATCATAAGCCAATAATAGAGCAGCAGTAGCATCTTAAGACATTACTTAAAACGGTCTTAAAATAAGAACGGATTATGAATACCCACAGTCACTTTTTATTTGAGGATCATCTCAAGTGTTGTCTTAAGATGTCATTATCCAATCACACAGCCGTATTAACATTTAAAGATATCACTTAAGAGGGATAAAATAAAAACCGACTACGAATAGCGACCTTGTGATTGGCTTAAGACGATCTTGAATATAAGAATCACCCACTGTGAATATCGGCCTAAGTCTCGCGCATAAAGCGCGGCACGTAAGGAAGCAAAGAAACGTAGGAAGAAGAATTACGTGTGCACGTTCCACCAAATTCGAGCTCGCTCGTTCGTTCGTACACGGCGCCGCGCCGAATTCATTTGCCGTGGGAGAAAGGAGTCCAAATTCCAGGCCTCGATTTAAATTGCGTTGCGTAACAGGGCAGGCAGACCACTCGCACTTTTCGGGAAGCGCGTTGTTTCTCGACGAGACGATTCCACGGAAATGAATTCGGTGTAGCGATCTGCGTGCTGAAATGTAGACCGCGTCTATAATAACGGCCTTGATACTAAAGGTTATCGTTCTTACACATTTTGAATCGCTTATATACTATATGATTCATATATTAGATCTATTAACTTAGTACCAGGATCATTTTTATTTATCGAACATCTTGATAATTTCTCAAGATCTTCAAGTTTCGTATCAACTCACTTTTCCAATTTTTATTCAATTCTAGCTTTTTATTTTTGACGATGGTTTGAAGAAAACTGAAACGAATGATATGGTGCAGATAATTATTGTACATTTATATCCTATGTAGAAATTTTTGTTAATTATATAGAAATTCGCGCACCAAATATCCGCGCTGTGTATATGCTCTTATTGTCCATGTATTGTATTTTTTCATTTCGAGATCCCGATTAATATTTATATTTATATTTTTATTTCATCATCACTAATTTATTATTATTATAAATATACGGTTATACAATCAAATTATATATAAAGAGATATAGAAAAGTTATTATAGAATTCCGAGAGATGACTTGTTAAATACTTTCTTTGTGTATAGAGTCGAAACTGAAGGGATATAACATCGATGAATTAAAATATAATTAAACCAAAGCTTGTTGAAATCGGTCATTAGCTATGCAAATTCGAGGGCGCGATCACGTTATGGGTGAGTGGGTATATCGCGTAACCTTCCTTCACGACAAGTCAACATGGTCTTCAATTAATATTTATTGGCCTGATCTTGTTCTTATCTCGTATCTCACTTGATCTTCACGATTTCGACGTTAGCGCGACTTCTTGTTTTGTAAGGATAAGCCACTGATAATTCCAGACGCGCACGTGGAAGATAAAATTACTTTTAAAAGTAAGGAAAAAAGAATCGCATAATTTCCAATGAAGGGAGGCGCACAGTTGCACAATCGTTCGAATCGCGAGAGTATCGTAAGCGTTCTTAATGACGCGAGTGAATAAAGATGCAGTCGAGATATTTTTGGAGTCGGTAAGATTTCAAAATTGTGGTGCCCACGACATACAACGTAACATGGAATTGCATTTTAATATAAAATGTATAATATATAATACTATGTTTAATTTGTGACATCGTCCCGTTTGCTTTTCACCTTTCATATGCACGACGTATCTTCGATATTTTATAATTAAAAATTCAGAATAAAAATAAAAAGTATGAAACGCGCCAATAGCTAAAGAGTGAAAAACTCATTAACTAGTATAATGCAGGAGAGTCTTTACGTATTTTATACTTTTTATTTTTATTCTGAATTTTTAACCATATATGATGGCACACATCCCATGCTGATAACAACAAGGTAAACTATAAATGAACAGTGAATTCTATCAACGCGCGCACCGTATTCATAACTCTATATTTTTAGTTTACAAGTACATATGCTGGAGGCATATTTCTCTGTCAAGATTCGTTATCTGTGAGATTTACGCTGCGGAGGTAAGAACTTAAGTACTTATTAAATATATTTTATATATACATATATATAGGTACAATGTATATATTGTGTATATATATATATATAGATATATCTCTTTAGTCCTGTTGCTCGTGTCCGAGATGACTTCTCTCATATGTCTGTGGTGCGC